ATGGGCATAGATCATCGGCAAACGAATTAATTGGAAAATTATCTTCATGCCTGAAACATCCTTTTTCAAGAGGCATTTGAGATTAGTTGTTTAGTCGTTTTGAGTCCTCTATCACGCTTGGCACATGTTGAAGGTTTAACAGCTTATATTTGGGTCATTATTTCTACTTTCCGTTTGTCTTCAGAACAATGGTAACCTGCATATACGATAGGAATAGGAGGTTATCTTCTAAAAGGTGGGGATTGAAGGCAAAGCCAATCGTGAGCCGCACATACTCTGAGAATTGGCAGTTGAATTGAAGATCTCTTCAATAACTTCTCTCCAACTTTAACTTCTTCGCCGGATCCTGTCTTTCGGTCGGCAACCGCCTTTTAGTAATTGCAGCTCCACTATTGTCCAGCCGAAGAGATCTTACCAACATTCTTGCTTCCAGACCGAGGCCACATCCGGCTCGATAGAAGGAAAACCTGGGGAGTACGGGTCCATACCAATTCCCAGTTAGGGCCTGCACCAACTGGAAAAAGCCTTGGGTTGTGTTCTTCATGTAGCTGACTTTAGAATGAGCGACACCAGTTCGTGAAAGAGTTTCGACCCTACGCTTGTAGGGTGCACTTCGTGACAGTTTGCCGGCGAGATGCAGAATTTGCCTCCTCGAATTACAGGACGTAGTAGCGACTTAAGCATTTATATATGAAATAGACGTTTTTATGTGATATCAAACCCAACCTCGATGTTTAGCCTGCCGCATCTAATCAGCTCCCCAGGGGGATTCGAAGCATGGATGCTCGAGCTCGGTGGTAAATACGACAGACCATCGTCTACCAGAACAATCCGTAAGAATACTTTGCGAGCCAAGCCAGTAGATTATGTACTCGTAGAACTGGCAAAAAACTCATTTAGATTAGGATTGGGGCTATATTTTAGCGTCTACCAACTCGACATTTGCGGTTCAAATCCCGCTAGTAGCGCTGAAAAGAGGAGAATCCAACTTCCATTCTGTTCTCCATCCAGGGTAGCTGAGGGTTTCCGCCTTTGTTATCACATAGTTAAGTAAATTTCAGCGCAATCTTTAGGCATTTGCTGTAAGCTATCGCAGATAATATTGCTATCAGCTTCCTTAAAAGAACTCGAAAATATTTTTACTAATCTGTTTATCAGATTTATGGTATCGACAAATAAGTAGGCCCCGAAATGTTTTCATTGTTAACTTTTTCTAAAAATTAAGTTCTACCAGTCAACTTGGTCATGTATTCACAAAATGCCTAGTAAAACTAAGAAAAATATTTTTTCAATTTATGCTTTAGAAAAATATAGTATGATAGATGTTTTATTATAAACTAATAGAAAACATTAAATTGTATAAAAAACAGAATAAGTCTCAACAAATAATAATAAATATTGAAGTTGTTTGACCTTGTTTTCGCAACTCAGTCATATTGGTAGGAAGACTTAAAGGAA